ACGTTTGCATACGCGACCACGAGGCGCTCCAAGCAGGCTTCCAAAGCAAAAACCGCCCCATTCCCAAGGGAAAACGTACATGTTCAGCACATTCGCTTCGTGGGCTTTCACGAGGCCCACAACGGCCCAATAAACCTCCAAGATCGACCTCTGGCACCCCACGAGAGTCTCCAAAAGGCTCCACGACGGCCTCCGGGCGCCCCAGGAAGGCTCCAGAAACCATAGCAACGGCCCAGGGGAACGGCAGGACGGTCCTAAAAGGGCTCCAAAACGTGTCTAGAGGGGCCTCACAGGCTGTCCGGACAGGCCACGCGGGGGACGATTGCTGCCGCCCCAAGGGGTCGGCGGTGTGGCGTAAGCTGATGAATCTCAATTCTTGGAGCCCCCTACCATACAATGTCTCGCCTGGAACCCACCGACGCCTCCCACCTCGCCACGGCATCCTAAAAGACCAAAATCTTCATTCTTGGATCCCCCTACCCTACAATTCTCGCCCGGCGCCCACCGACGCCCTCCACTTCGCCCCAACATCATGATCGGCCAAGATCTCAATGTTTGAAGCCCCCACCCCAATTTCTTGCCCGGAATCCACCGACGCCGTCCACCTCGACGTGGCATCCTGACCGCCCAAAATGTCGATCTTTGGAGCCACCACCCTACAACTTCTCGCCTGGAGCACACCCACGCCCACCACCTCGCCCTGGCAACCTGACCGCCCAGAATCTCCCTTCTAGGGCCCTCCATCCTACAATTTCTCGCCCAGAATGGGCCGACGCCCCCCACCTCGCCCCGGCATCCCGACCGCCCAGTATTTCAGGTCTTGGAACTCCCATGCACCCTACAAACCTCGTACAATTTCTCCCCAGGAACCCACCGACCTCCCCCTTCTCGCCGCTGCATCGCGATCGCGTAAAATCTCAATTGTTGGAGCTCCCCACCCTACTGTTTCTCACCTGGAACCCGCCGACGCCCCCCTACCTCGCTTCAGCATCCTGAACGCCCAAACTCTCACTTGTCGGGAGCGGCCAAGACGAGGGTGTCCAAGGGGGGGGGTGCAAATCATGACCGGCGGCATGTGCGCGGCCCAGCGGGGGGACCTGGGACGTAATGAAATTAGAAGAGGCGCCATGAAATCCGAAGAAAAATCATGGCCCGCGCCATGATATCCACCCCCCCTTAATCATCACCCCCCTCTTTTCCGCTCCTTAACTTCTTGGATTCCCCCACCGTGCAATTTCGCGCCCGCCGCCGACGCCCCCCACCTCGCCCGGGCATCCTCTCGCCCCAACGGGGCTCGAGCGCAACAGGCGGAAGTGCAGCCAGCGACACTGCCACCACCGCCGCCGCCGTCGCCGACGCCGCTTCCGCCGCCGTCGTCTTCCGATTTCCTCTTCCTCTTCTTCCCACCTCCACCTCCTCCTCCTCCTCCTCCTCCCCCGCCTTCTCCTCCTCCTTTCTCTTCCTAGGGCGCCTGGGTCCAGAGCCAATATCCACATGGACCCGTCCCCAGAGCTCTGATGTTTAAAGACGGAACAGGGGCGGTGCCAGGGGGAAGAGGGAGATAGACGAAGCCGGGGCAATGGAGACAGGACAAGCGAACTGGGAGCTATTTTAAAACACATTCGCGGCCCATGTCGCCGATCAGGCCGGGTAAGCAGATGTCCGGTTGACGGCAACACCCCGTGCGACCAGACGGGGCACCGTCCCACAAAAGGCAGGAAGGATGCTGGCCCACCGCGCAAGCACAGCGGCGATATGGGCCACTCCATCCGCCGCCCCCTGTGGTTGTGCCGCGCGACATGACGCCAAGACGGCCTCCAGGACGACCACGGCGGCCGTCCAAAACGACGAAGGGAGCCCGAACGGAACCCAAGATGGCCGCAGGATGTATCCAAGCCGACGCCACAAACACCAACACAAAACGAGCCAGCCGAAATGCGGCGCCCAGCAGCCTCTAATCAACGCGCAACGAAATACCTAATCGCGCAGCCCCCGATTTGGGGCCGGCGGCAGGCGCAGCAGTTCTAATGTCACGATAACTGGCCTGCTTCGAAAAATGTTGATGGATACTTTATGGACGAAAGACATCGGCAAATCCGCCGACCCTGTCGGCGTGTGGAATGGGTTGCTCGTCGTGGTTGTTATCCTCGTACGTACTCGTCGTCTTCTTTTCTGGGTCCGTCGCCGCTCCCCCCCGAGCCCCCCCCTCTTTCTCCGTGGGCCCTCGTCCTCAAACGCGCCAGCCAAAGCGAAATGAAGCAATCCCCAGCCAAAACGAAATCAACAACGTTGCCATTGAGTCGAAAGGAAGCCCCTTCCCTTTGATCCCTTCCCCGCGGGGGGAGTCCTAGGGGGGGTCCCGGAGTCCCAGGGAGGGGTCCTGGGGGGGGTGTCCCGGGTCAGAAAACCATCCCCCGCTTGCAGCTTTAACATCTGGGCCTTCTGTAGACGCGCTGGAAGAAGGGGGGGGCGCCACGACGGATCCGCGAAAACGCCACTAGACGGCCCAAGCCCCACAAGACACCCCAAGAACGCCTGAGGACGGCCAAAGGGAGCCCCCAGACGGGTCGAAAGAGCCCCAAAAAGATTCTCAAGAAGGCGCGGGGAGGCCTCCTCCTCCTCCTCCTCCTCCTCGCCCTCCTCCTGCTCCTCCTCCTCCTCGTCCTCTTCCTCCTCCTCCCCCCCCCTCCTCCCCCTCCGCCTGCTCCTTCACTGCCCTCCTCCTCCTCCTCCTCCTCCTCCTGCTCCTCCTCCTCCCCTCCTCCTCTCCCCCCTCCCTTCCCTCATCCGCTTCTCCACCCTCCTCTTCCCCCCCCACTCCTCCCTCCTCCTCCTCCTCCTCCTCCTCCTCCTCCTCCTCCTCCTCCGCCTCCGCCCACCCCACGCTCATTTTCATGTTCGTCGTCTTCAGGGTCGGCGGCACCGGCTGTAAGGCCTTCGCAATCTATACACGGCGCAACGTTTAAGCATCCAGAATATTGTCGAAAACAAGCGAATACATGACCGTTAATGTGCGTACTGGCCAGATCCCGGGAGCAGACGCAACGCACCGGCGAACGACAAGTACGCGCACCCTTGGTCATGGCTGAACCAAAATTGAGACGCATCACCTCACATTGAGCGCACCTGCGCTAAACGAACGAGCTTGAGCGGGTCTGTGACTGGTTTTGCTCGATGTTCCAGGGTAGTATAAGTGGTTACATTCTCGAGCATCAAGACAGCGCACATTATCAACGCGTGATGCTGTTGCATAGCGCGGTACCCCCCTTTTGAAGGCCCTCTGAGGCCAATTGCAACGAAGGTCGCCCCCACGGGAGAAATTCAAAATGTCGCTCGCTTCACGACAAAACATGGGCCAGGGAAGCGTGCTCTCGCCATCGCTCGGACGTCCATTCCCTGTGTTTTTTTCGGTTTCGTGCGTGGTTTTTTCGCCGAATGGTCAGGGATGCTCCTCGAGGGTCCTCGCCGAACGAAAAATGCACACGTCCGAGCGATGCCAAGTGCTGTAAAGGCCGTGCGGCGGAGTTGAAGCTCTTCGCTGCCTCCCGGATAGTGGGCCACGGTGGCGCCCGGCAGTGGCGCGGGCGCCCGGTCGACGACCACGAAGGGCTCCAAACAATATATATATATATATATATATATATATATATATATATATATCCGCCGATCCGGCGTGTGAGCTTAAGAAAGCTACAACCTGAGCTTCAGCTCTGCTGGGGGGGGGCCGGGGTGGCTCTGCCGGGGTAGGGGGGGGAGGGGGGGGGAGGTTCATCGGGTCCACCCTTTCTTTCCCCCCCCTCGGGGAATCCCAAACCGCCCCAAGACGGGCCAAAAGGGGCCCAGGAGGCCACCAAGACGGTCGAGGAGGCGCCCGAAACGGCCCAAGAGCGCTCCTGGACGCCCAAGATGGCCTGAAGACGGCCCAAGAGGCCTCCAAGACGCCTCAAGGAGATCCCAAGAGGACCCCCAAGAGGGCCCCAAGAGGGTACACTGATAAAGTTGCTAATAGGTTTTGAAGCATTTTAACATTATCGCCTTTTCCGCCTTAGAAGCGCCGAAGACGGTCCACGAGGCCCCCAATATCGCCCCAAGACAGCCCAAGAGGCCCCCAAGAGGAGCCAAGACGGTCCAAGAGGGCCCTAATATAGCCCTGGAGGCCCCCCAAGACGACCCCGAGAGGCCCCCAAGATGGCCTCAAGAGGGTGAACCCGAACGGACCTATCTAGTCCTCCACCCCAAGATGACCCCAAGAGCCCCCAAGATGCCCCCGAGGCGCCCCCAAGGGGCCCCCAGAGGCCCCCAAGAGGTCCCCAAGAGGCCCCCAAGAGGACCCCGAGAGGCCCCCAAGAGGCCCCAAAGGCCCCCAAGAAGCCCCAAAAACCAAGAGGCCCCAAGAGGCGCTCACTCGCGTGCTGCCAGGCCAGAGGTGCACGGCCTGACTTGGTATTGCTCGGAAGCGAATGCGATGAACGAAGAACCTTCCACCCGTCGCCGTCACCAGTCGTCGGTCGTCGGCCGTCGGCAGCCGTTCGCCGTCAGTCGTCGTCGTCGTCGTCGTCGTCGTCGTCGTCGTCGTCGTCGTCGTCGTCGTCGTCGTCGTCGTCGTCGTCGTCGTCGTTCGTCGTCATTAACGTCGTCGTCGTCTCGTCGTCGTCGTCGTCGTCGTCGTCGTCGTCGTCGTCGTCGTCGTCGTCGTCGTCGTCGTCGTCGTCGTCGTCGTCGTCGTCGTCGTCGTCGTCGTCGTCGTCGTCGTCGTCGTCGTCGTCGTCGTCGTCGTCGTCGTCGTCGTCAGTCGTCAGTCGTCGTCGTCGTCGTCGTCGTCGTCGTCGTCGTCGTCGTCGTCGTCGTCGTCGTCGTCGGTTCGTCGTCATCAACTCCTTCGTCGGTCGTCGTCGTCGTCGTCGTCGTCGTCGTCGTCGTCGTCGTCGTCGTCGTCGTCGTCGTCGTCGGTTCGTCGTCATTAACTCTTTCGTCGGTCGTCGTCGTCGTATTTATCCCGCTCGTCGACCGTTGGTCGTCCGTTGTCGTCGTCATCGTCCATTTTAACAACAATAGCATCAGGAGCGCTCCGGATCGGCGGCACTGGCCGGAGGCCACTACAATATACACATATATACATATATATATATATATATACATATACCCTTGAAAAACGACGAGGGTCGAAGATGAACCCGGACCCGCGGGGGCCGGAAACAAAAACAGATCCTCGGACAACGCAACCATCACTCTACGTCGGCGGCGCAGAGGGTACTCAGGCGCAGGCAGCAGATGGAAATACTAATTGCGATCGAACATGGTCGAGGGCACAGTGTACAAACCGTTGCACACTTCACCAACAGTCAAACACACACGCACACACACACACACACGCACACACACACACAAGCAACCTGCGCATAAACTGTTCAGGGGGTCGACTGGCAAAATCGGCTGCCCGATCGGGCCCTCCCAAGTCGCTCGCGCGGCCGGGCAGGCGTTCCCGCACGGATCCCTCCCCCGACCCCACGAGCAAGCGAAACCTCGGCGCCTGTGCTATGTGCGGTTCGAGGGCAAGTTCAGCAGGCATTGCAACGGCCGATATCCGCAGCAAAACCCAGTCGGCCGATCTTTTGAAGATAGAGCTTGGCCAAAACATATAAACAAACATGTATGTGTATGCTTGTGGTTGACTTCTGCGGGGACGGTTTGGGACCAGTGGATGAGTTCTGGCTGCGACAATGCAAGACCCTGCTGGTACTTTCTCTGCGGTCGAATCACGGTTGAATGGACCAAACTCTGATACAGCCTCCAGTTTCCAGTCCCGCCTCATGCCCCGCTTGCTCCTCTACAGGACGAGAGAGGAGGAGGCGGCGAAGGAGAATAGGAGGGCATCTCGGGGGCGTCAACGAGGGGGCGTCCAAGAGGAGGTTTTACAAGTCATGGCCCGAGGCACTTACGCGGCCCAGGGGGGGCCAAGGGATGCATTGAAATGAGATGAGGGGGCCATGAGATCTGGGGAGATGTCTTGGCCCTGGCCATGATATCCACCCCCTAGTCCCCACTCCCTCGTCGACGCCTGGTGGTTGTCGGGTCATAACTCGGGACTGCAGGCGCCGTTCAAAAGCGATTCTGGCAACCCTGGAACGCTCTCGGCGAGGCGCAGCCGCTGCAGCGCTTTCCGAAGCTGGACCACCGCCTAGAACCGATGAGCATGTCAGAACCACCCCGACATTTTGGCCACCCACGAAAACATCCCCCCGGCCGGCAGTGGGGGCCCATGCCAAGAAACACCCTGCTTGCCTCCACTGGGTTTCTTGGGTGTCGATGGTTTCGCGATGGAGAGTGCAACACTCCCACACCAAACAAATGGACGTCCTGGGGTCTCAGGGTTGGGTTCTTGTGGAAGGTTTCTTGTGGACTGGCCTACACTGTTTTCTAAAGTTCGAGGTCGCCGGACCCTTCTCTCCAGGTGGGCCCTCGCGCCGCGAACGGGCAACTCCACCAAGCTTAGGTGGACTTGCCCAGCGCAGGCAACTCCGAGCCTCCCGGCACCGAAGAGCGGACGGGGGGGTTTGAGCTGGATGCGCTGCAAGAAAATTTGTCAAAAAGGTGACGAGGCCAAAACCGCTCAAAATAAAGCCCCGGACCCCTTCCCGGAGCCCAACCGCACAATTGTTCAAGCCGCGCCCAGCCGTAGTGACGAGAAGCCCCCAGGAGGCCCCCAAAATGCGAAACGATCTTATCACCCCCTTTCTGCTGGCCGGAACAAGTGCTGGGCAGCCTCAGCCCTGGGACACCTTGGGCCAGGACCAGGGACACCTTGCATTAGTAACATCCGCACATCCTGCCTACACTCTTCGATGCTGCTCAGAACGTGCGTTGGCGCTGACGCGTGTTTGCTTACAAGGGCCCTTCAGAACGACGCAGGCGGCGCAATGAGGGCTGACACAGGCTGCGTTCTGCCCTTGGAGCTGACCGGGTTAACACACGCGCTGATAGCACGATAAACTGGGGTGGGGGGGCACCTTGCGCAAGAGATACCCCGTACATCCACCTCTCAACTGGACCGGTCGGGCCGCGCGCACCGACCGCACCGCGCCCGGCGGCTCAGCCCCTCGCCCCCCCCCCCACCGCCAGCAGCGGCGCGGCGGGGCCCGCGCGCGTCCCGTGACGTACGTGGACCTGGCGCTGAGCGTGGTCGACTCGCCCTCGGCGGAGGCGGCCGTCTTGGGCTGGACGTCCGGCGGCGTGGCCGGAGCCGAAGAAACCCGCCTGGGCGGGCGCAGCGAGCCACTGCAACTGCTTCCTCTCGCTTTTTCGGGGCGCGGCGGAGAACTCTATCGAGGTACCCCCCCGCCCCCCCAGGTGCCCCCCAGGGCGCCGATTGCACACCACACCCTTTGCAAACCACAACCTTCTGTGTCGCCGATTCAAGCAACTGCGTCGACGGTGCTTCCTCGGAAGGGGCGGGGCCCCCGGCAACGGCAGCGCCTGGGCGGGGTGGTGCGCGTCGGGGCGGAGGGCGCGCTGCGGTCGCCATAGCATGCGCGTTGGCACCAGCATGTGTGGGGGGTCCAGGACTTCCCCCGATGTACGATCGTTACCGCTACGTACCCAGAGGGAGGGGTTGGCCAAGGTAACGACCGTGACGCGCCAGAGGATAAAAGTCAATCTCCGAGTCACTCCAGAGGGCGAAGGTGACGAGGAAAGTTGGGAGGCAACACCTGGGAGGTCTTCGTAAGAACAGCTGAGAGCCCAGGAGCCCGATCGGGGGGCCCTTGAGCCACAGACGCCCAAGTAGCGCACAATATGTTGTTCAAAAGGAAGCCGGATGGAAGTAAGCTCCATGAGACGAAAGTAGGCGGGATCTTGCTGGATTAAGCGTGTCTCCGACCACGGACATACCAACGCCGATGCTGAATCCAACTTCCCAAGGCTTGTACCCGAACCCGGAGGGCCACCGAGTCCGGAGTCGGAGCCGGTCTGCCCGGATGTTTGAGCGCGCATGCTCAAGCATTGAGTGGACCTGTTCGGATATAGGACAACGGCATCCCCCCAGGCAGATCAACACGATCCCGAATCACCAGGATTGAAGGTGCAACATCCAGTGTGATTGCCTGCGGTCTGTGCGTACAATCTTGGACGAAACAATCGAACATTGGGGGGGCCATGGATGCTCGCTTTGAAGCATCAGGCTCTCCGCGACTCGGGCTCACCGCACGTCTTCTCCGCAAGCTTGCAGCTTACACAATCACTCCATGGTCTCAGATCCCTGGTTGGTTCAACGCGGAGTGCAAACGCTTGAGCCACATCGAGGCACCGACTCCCGTAGCGCGCCCTCGAAAAAGCGAGGCGAAGGCTCGTCTTGGTAACCTCGCGGACACCAACGACTCGAGAATAACATGTTTGACCAGTGGCTTAGCCTTTGGATTGAGGAACCGTGCGAAGGGGCACGCGCATACCCAACCCTGCACTACCTGCAATCGCCAAATGATTACAATAACAACGCCCACAGGACTCGACATTCGAAGCACCTCCCCAGCCGCCACCGCTCGAAACAGGACCACGAGAACGTGGGTCAAGAGTATGAGCCTTTTTGCAGAATGCCCAATACCTCATGAACACTTGTGAATCCACGGGAGCCAAACGGTGCAAGACGTCGGGCGCCTGCCAGTGCAAGCGGTGGGGTGCCCTGGAGGCGGATTGAGGCACGAGTGCGAAAACGAGATAACGCGAGAAGAGAAAGAAAGGGCTCGTTCAGACCATGTAAGCCGGCGCGGGGAGGGGGGGGGGCCTCATGGAAACCAGGAGGAGGAGGAGGAGGAGGAGGAGGAGGAGGAGGAGGAGGAGGGAGGGAGGGAGGAGGAGGGAGGAGGAGGGAGGAGGATGAGAAGGAGGAGAGGATGAGGATGAGGATGAGGATGAGGATGAGGAGGAGGAGGAGGAGGAGCTGCACGAAGAGCGTTCCAAGGTGGGGGGCCCAAGCGTGGAGAGAACACCAAGGGGTACCCTGACCCTCCGACGATCCGAGCATCGGGTTGTTTCTGGCCCTGGTGCCAGCTGCACGCCAGGCTCCCGTCGCGACGGCGTCGGCGTTGGCTTCGACACCGCGGGGATCGTTCCGCCTTGCGGCGGCGAGCAAGGAGGGAGGCGAGGAGGGAAGCCCTCTCAGAAAGCGGCGGGGCTTCTCGGAAGGCCTCCGGCCTTTCGGAGAGGTTCTCTTCGTTCGATGCATGGGGGGAGGGGCGCGTGCCATCGGGGGGGGATTCGGGGGGGGGGGCTGGCATTTTTGAGGCAAGTTCCTGGGCCAGGCGGGAGGGGGTGAGAGTTTTGGACGCGCGGCGAGGGGCGGTGGTGGTCGCCCCCCGAGGATCACGCCATCTGGAGCAGAAAGCTTCTCGAAGGCCTGAGGCCATCCGCGCCTTCTGAAGCAGTAGAAGTAGAAGAAGAAGAAGAATAATGATAACAAACTGCATAAACAGGCCCTTGTAGTCCTGGGGGGGGCCCTTGTAGTGTAGGGGGGGGCCCTTGTAGTCCAGGACGGGAGGGTTCCTGTAACTCGGGGGGGGGATGCCGTGATCTTCGCGGGGCAACGTTCCGCTCGACGACCGCGGACATGCGCCCCATGCAAAAGGCAACGCAAAGTTGCCGCAGTTGCGCGCGTGGCAATACAGAAGAGTAGTTCTTTGGAGGGCCTTGTAGTCCGGGGGGAGTCCCTGTAGTCAGGGGGGGGGCTTGTAGTCCAAGGGGGTCCTTGGGGGGGGGGCCCTGTAATCTGGGGGGGGGGGGGGGGCCTTGTAGTCCAGGAAAGGGGGCCCTTGGTAGTCTGGGGGGCCCTTGCCGGGGGCCCAGAACTATGAGGTGCTCAGAGTATGGCGACTTTGTTATCGATTCTCAGAAGGCTTGAGGGTCGCCGCGCCGCGTCGACATGACACGAGCCTGCCGCTCTCAAAACGAGGTGTCTCACAATTTTCGGCCTCTGTAGGGGCCCTCGCCGGGCCCCGGGACCGTCAAAAACCGACTCAGGATGAAAAACGGGTCCTGGGGAATGGATCGGGACTTCCGAGTACCACCGCAAGGAACAATCACGACATCGGATCTCCGGGTCCTCCTCCGCGCATGCCTTCGTCCATCTCCCGCGTCCTCCTTCCTGCCCTGGGCTCTTCTGGTCCGCCCCATCCCTCCCTCCTGCTCCTCCCCCTCCTGATCCTCCCACTCCTCCTCCTGCCTCCTGCTCCCTCCTCCTGAGCCTCCCTCCTCTCCCTTATCCACGATATCCTGCTTCTCCTCCTCCTCCTCCTCCTCCTCCAACCTCCCCCTTCCCTCATCATCCTCGTTCCCCCTCCTCCTCATCCTCGATCCTCCGCCGCCCCATCCTCCATCTCCTGACCCTCCTCCTCCGCCTCCTCCGACCTCATGTGTCCTCCTCCGCGGCCATGTTCCTCAAACACTGACATGGACACCCAAATAAACATGAGCAGTACCGCTATTGGCTCACGATCATGCCGAGCGAGAGAGCAGAGAGAGAGAGAGAGAACAACACAAAAGAAACACTACCATACACGAAAGGGGCAAACGACCCCCCGGATACACACACGCAACACACATGAACGCACGCACGAACGCACATACGCATAACACGCCTGCAAACACGCAACACACGATCACATGTGTTCCTCCCCTGGCGACGTGGACCACAATCGCGTCTGAAACAAACGTGGCACGCACATGTCAGTTGCAATTGGACGTGCGGAACCACCTCGAGCCGATTCCGGGCAGGAAGCAAGCTGGGCAACACTCACGAGCAAACACGGCGAAACGGAAGAACACACACGTCGTCGCACTGTCGCACGAACGCGCACACGCGCGAACGTGCACGCAAACGGAACACAGTTAGTGAAGAGCGAAGAGCGAGAGGAGGAGGGGGGGAGGAGGGAGGCACAGAGGGGAAGAAAGAAGTAGCAGGACGAGGCGACTGAGGAGGAGAAGGAGGAGGGAGCAGGAGGAGGAGGAGGAGGAGGGAGGAGGAGGGAGGAGGAGGGAGGAGGAGGGAGGAGGAGGAAGAGGAGGATCGAGCGCCGAACCCCGATAGAGGAATCCGGCACTGGCCTGCTGCCATCGACCATCGTGCTGGTCATCCGAGCGGACGTGCGCTGGACGGACCTGAGCTTTGATGACCCAGGACGAGCAACACATCCACCTCTTCCTCCTCCTCCTCCTCCTCCTCCTCCTCCTCCTCCACTCTTCCTCCTCCTCCACCTCTTCCTCCTCCTCCTCCTCCTCCTCCTCCTCCTCCTCGGTGGCAGGCGGCCTCGCCCGCACGGGGGGGGGGAGGCGCGCGGGGGGCGCGGGGGGGGGGGCTTTGATGACCCAGGTCTCATCGGGAAGATCGCAATGGGTACGGAAAAGATGGCTACAAAGTGCAACAGCATTTTTTGATTGCTGGCACTCAGAGCAGGGTTCGTTGTCAACATCGCCGCGGTCGTTGTCCATCTGAGACAAAAGTCCGCCTGCCCAACAACGGCTGCTGTCGTTTTGGATAACACGTTGGCGTTCATGTCGGGCGTCCAGATTCAATGCCATGGGCATCCGCTCGCTATTCGAAGCGCTCCGGTTCACGCGTCTGCCTCAAAGCTCACTCACACGTCACTCGTGTTCATGTCTAGGACAGATCCGAATGGAACATGCATGCACATTCAAATTTATCCACCACACACACTGGCATCAAAAAGAAGGCAAGGTCCGAACCCGCGATACGGGCAACACCAACTTTTCACGAAACACGACATGTGAAAACAGAGTGCAGGTCGACCATAACGCGTCTGAGCGGAAAGGGATAAACGATGTACCAGCTTCTGGAATGCAACAAGTATCCTGATCGTCACACACAACGCATGATGATCACCGCCTTCGATATGACAGCCCCACATCAACTCCCTCGAGTGAAACCCTGCGTTGCATTGAGAAGCCTGTTCGGCCTGAGATTTTGAAAACTTCTCTTGGCGAATGGCGTCGAGGTGGTCTGACGCGGGGGGGCTCGGGGCAGAGGGCCGCGGAGCGGGGGTCCCACTGTGGCGCTGGGGACGCGGGGGGAGGGGCGGGGGGAGGTGGGTGTGCGACGCGGAATAAAGCGTTCGCGGCGGAGGGGGCAATGGGCGGGGCTCCCACTGGAGCGCTGGGGACGCGGGGGGTCTCGGGGCAGAGGGCCGCGGAGCGGGGGTCCCACTGTGGCGCTGGAGACGCGGGGGGAGGGGCGGGGGGAGGTGGGTGTGCGACGCGGAATAAAGCGTTCGTGGCGGAGGGGGCGATGAGTGGGGCTCCCACTGGGGCGCTGGGGACGCGGGGGGGGCTCGGGCAGAGGCCCGCGGAGCGGGGGTCCCACTATGGCGCTGGGGACGCGGGGGGAGGGGCGGGGGGAGGTGGGTGTGCGACGCGGAATAAAACGGTCGGAGCTCTAGACACCCTGTGCAAGAGAGCATGGCGTAGACGAGCACGGCGGAGCATAGCATGTCATAGCA